AGGTGTAACCTTGTGGAAGGAAGTGTATCCCCGGGTGAGGGGTTTAAGGTTTCAAAAGCTCAAGCCAAACTCCGTCTCTCTCTCTCTCTCTCTCTCTCTCTCTCTCTCTCTCTCTCTCTCTCTCTCTCAATTCGTGCTTTGTGCAGATCCCTGCAGATGCATCCCAGATATAGAGCCACCCATTACTTCTGCCTTCCAGTCACCATACTTCCTGCTGTGTGACAATGGACTAAATCTCTGAAACTGTAAACCAGCTCCAATTAACTGCTTTCTTTGTAAGAGTTGGCATGGTCATGGTTTCACTTCACAGCAACAGAACATTGCCAATGTTCTCAAACTGTTTTAACAAGACAATGCCTTAAACAATTTTTTTAAAAAAAATATCCGCACCTGTGTGGTGTGTGATGAACTGTTTCACCAGAGGACACACCTGTAGAGTGTCAGGCTTAGAAAGAGGCACGTGTTCATTCAGAGACAAATTGTTTTCCTCCCAATGTACCAGACTCAGTTTGGTTGTGTCTGTCAGATTTATCCCCACAGTCACACATGTTTAGTAGCATCTGAACTGACCCCAGATCTTATCTCTGGTCCTACCTGGTTTTGCTTCTTTCTGGCCCATTGCAGGTCTTGATTCCTCAGTCACTACTTCATCTCTATCTCACTGGACTCAACTTTGGAATCCACACTCCACCTCACTTCCTTTCACCAGCTCCTCCCCGCAGGCATAGTCTGGGTTCCTCAAGGGTCTTGACTATCTGCTCTAAGCCAGCATGGCACTGGTCAACCATGGGCTAGACCAGTTCTTGAGAATGGCAATCCTAAAGTCAGTTTTATTCTGGAGTAATAAGCTGGGTCAGCAGTGTGCAGAACGCTTTGTGGGGAGTGATACAGACTAATGGAGGTGACGGGTGCACAGTGGGATCAATTCTGTAAGAACTCCTGAACCACCAGCAAAGAAGGCAGGCTGTGTGGCATGCCCACCAGCCACTTTCCTTGACTCCATGACCACATATGTAAGAGAAGCCTGTGCATGGAAGAAGGCTCATCTTGACCCATCATTTCAGAAGGCTGAGTCCTCATGGTAGGGGAGGTGTGGCCGTGGGATACATGACAAGATTTGTCACAGGGATATCAGGAAGCATAGACTTGACAGGGACCAGAGGTTCTATGTCCCAAAGGTTTCATAACTTCCCCCAAACAGTGCCAATGTCGGTCTTTTTAATATATCTTTGGGGCTCTTCATCTTTCCAACCTGATATTACTCTGAAATGTTCAGTTTACAATCTCCTCCTTTGCTTCTAAAGAAAATCTATAAATGACCTTTCACCAGTCATGGGATAAAAGCCCAAATTCTTATCAATCTCATGTAAGACCTTGGGTAGATTTTCTGTTTCCACCTCCTACCCCCAGGCAGATCTTCTCCTTTTGTTCTTTGGTTTCCAACTTTGCTAGTCTTTGCCCTTCAGAACTCTTCAGAAGGGAAGATAGGAACTTTTCCAGACACCATGTTTTTAGGTTCAAGTCTAATTGTTTCTACATTATAAGAACTGGAAAATTTGTGTGGACCAAATGGATACTGGATTCCCAGGCCTCTGTTGGATCATATGCAAATGAGGTTTGGTGACATGAGGTAATGTTTAAGATCACTTCTGGAAAGTCCACATGGTGCACTCTAAAGTCACAGTGAGCCATCAGACATAGGTGTTGGGCATGGACAATCACACTGAGGTGGTGAGGGCGGCGTTGGTGAAAGGGATGGGGATGGTGTCGATGTCAGTGAGCACAGGGTTGCTGATGTCAGCAGAGGTGGAATGACTGTGGGGCGGTGATCATGACTGTAACGGTGGGGATAATGTAAGAAGGAAGAATGAACTCAATACCCTTGTCTCAGACCTGGTTGAGAGGCTCCTTCTGTTGGGTCCTGCCCTCTACTTTGATGGCTTTGTACTCAGCCTGTCTCACCTCAGCAATAGCTACAGAATGGCCTGGGCCACTAGTCACCTTCCTCCCCCACGTAAAATAGTGTCTTTTTGGTATTTTGGGGTGTGTTGTAATGTCCTGACCCAGATCTGCAGGGACGCCACCCCATCCCTGAACACGGGGGCTGACTTCATCAGTCCAGAGTCCTGTATTCCACTTGCATGGCTAAGGATAAGCTTCCAGCACGCCGTGTGTGAGCTGAGGCAGCCAGAGGACATGACTCCTCAGAGGCAGCTCAGAAGACTCTCTTCAGAAGGTAAAGAAATGCTGAGAGCTAAAGCTAAGCTCAAACACTCGGCCGCTCAGATAACTCCAAATCCTCTGAAGAATCTAAATTCCCTTAAGCAACTTCAGGCAAAATCGCTGCTTCAGCTGCAGCTAGAGAACTCGAGTTCCTCCTGACCCAGTGGCACCTCTGCCTATCTCTCAGGCTGAAGAATTAAAGCTCAAGTTCAGGAGCCTCCGATAAAGCCAAGCAGGTCCCTTAATTCAAGCATCTTTGCCAGAACCCTCAGAAAACGGGCAGAGCCAGCCGGAATGCTGCTGTCTGTGGAACTGTCACAGCTCCCTGCCTCGCTGCCCACTCCCAGGCTTATCTCCTCTGTCTTGGAGATGGTGACAAGCCTCAGGCCCGTTCCAGCTGCTCTCTTCACTATTACACACTTGCTGACCTGGAATATTGGTCTTTTGTGTACCACTCTATCAAAAGCTTTCTTGAAGTCCAAGGAAATTATAGCCGGGCTCCTGCTGCGGACTCTGGGAGCTGTTTCCTTGAAAAATTCTATCAGATTAACCAAGCGTGGCTTCACCATGGTGCCCCCGCTTGCCACCTGTAATTAAGGGAAGGTTCTGCTGGATGCCGGGAGTGTGTTCTGCTTCAGCTCCCTCTGAGGCACAGAGGAGCCAGTCTGGCACAGTCCCCAATAAAGCAGAGATGCATGAGGTTCCTTCACAGAGATGGCCAAGTTGGCCACCTTCATCCCATGCACACTTGTGTCTTGGTCACAAGAAGCCCTGGGGTTGGGAGCTGAGGTCTGACAACATCTTGCATAGTTTCCCCACAGCTTTGTCATCAGAAGAAGCCAGTCATCAGAAGTGTCTAAGCATCGGTTTCCCCTCTGTCAAGCAGCAGTGATGGGGACATATGAATCCCAGGCTTATGGCAGAAGTGCGAGAGCTAAGAATGGTTTTCCAGTCATCTGCAGGCTCTATCCCCCAGGGCAGGCAGAGTGGGTGACAGGTCGAGGTATCAATGACTTGCCAGCTGGTGTCTCCCCTAGGGCGGTTCTCATCTCATTTCCTACTGTGACTAGAAATATCCAGTCTCTCCTACTTTCAATCAAAATTTTAAAAAGAGCATACTTATTCTAATTTTTTTCTGTGTGTATGCGTCTGTTCCCTTGTGTGCGTATGCTGGTGTGTGCTCGTGTGTGTGTGTGTGTGTGTGTGTGTGACTTGCCAGCTGCTATCTTCTCCAGAGCACTTCTCATCCCATTTCCTAGGGCATGTGCACCTGTCTGTCCGTGTGTGGAGGTCAAGGGTCAACCTCAGTTGTTCCTTAGGTGCTATCCATCTTGTTCTCACTAGCCTCCAACTCACCAGGAGCCTGGGTTGCTTGCTTGCATGGAATAAAACTCAGATCCTCCTTGCTTTGCATGGCAAGCACTCTATCTCCATGGTTCTTTGCCTGACTTCTCACCATGCATTACAACTCACACTTCGCTAGGAGCGAGCTGGCTTGGTCCTGTGTTTCCTGTCCGCCTTACTCAGCTTGACTCCGGGCCTCCTGACTCAGGTGCTCATGAGACAGCCTCAGTGGGCTGAGCTGATATCCCACACCTTTCTGGATGCTTCCCTGCAGTGAAAAGGCTCCTTCTCTCCTGAGTCCACAATGGCCTCCCCGTGGGCTCACCTTCAGTGTGCTCATCCCTGGCATTTCTGCTCTCCCATGTCTCACTGAGGGTGCAGCTAATAGTTACCCTATATTTCTACCGGACACTAGGAGGGACTCTGACTTTGGCACCGAGAGACTGCAGTGGTCCAGAAAGGGCCAGAACACATCTACCATGCTTCTGTAAGGGGACTTGGAACCCTGGGGAGCTTCCTGTTGGTTTAGGATTCAGGTGGGTAGAAAAAGCTGGCAACACTCTTACTCTACCTGGCATGCACTCCCCTGTCTAATGCACCCATCCCCTACAATGCACTCGTAGTTACACACAGCTAAATCCTATGGATAATGTCCATTATCAGGGGAGCCTCCAGCTGCTGTCAGTTGGGAGAGACACCTGCTTCTTCTGTACTCACTTAGCAAGAGTTCCTTTGGGAGAAGTCCTCTTTTGGCCATATCTGTATTCTCTTGTCTTCCTGTAGTGTGCACTAAGCAGGGCCTTGCACCTGCTAGGCAAGCTCTTTTCCACACAACCAACTCTAGTCTTCCAGTCATCATGAATGTGTCCCTGGCAGGAAGCTGGAGATGAGACATTTTTAAATTCATGAGTGACTGAAGACGCACACGGATTGGCCTTGCTTCGGGAGCTGGTTACTCACACCCATGTAGTGGCTGCCTCGCTGTCTTGGAGTTGCTGGCCTGTGCTTCCTTCAGGTCCATTCCAGCCTGGAGCTGTGTTTGGGCTTATTAAAATGCATACACAAAAGCTGGGCTTACCAGCAAATAGCATGGACAGGACTGGCTGTCTAAATGGTGAGAAGTCACACAAGTATTCTTGATCCTAGCGAGTAATAGCAGCCAAGCCCCACTAGGTCGCTTCCAGAAGAGCAATTTTCCTATAGCACATTCTGGA